TCAGCCTCGTTTCTCTGCCTCGTTCACCAGGCATGGTCGGTGATATAGATGCCGACAGCCAAACACGATTAGGGGTCCAACGTCCTGTCCAGGACCGAGTAGCTGGGGTTCCTGCGGCCCGAAGGGATGTGTGAGTTTTCCACTAACATCCACCTGTGTCGTCAGGTTCGTATTTTGGCTCGATGTGTGTACATTCGCATCGTCTCGTAACATTGGTTCCTTGCCCTTTCCGTACGAATGTAGATTCGTATTTCCAGCCATGTCGAGCTGTCTTGCTTGTCCGCGCTTCGCATCAACGTCTTGTTTATTTTGCCACGCTTCCCAAATCCAGGCCCCTGATCCGGGCCCCCATACTCGCTGTCGACAAACTTCACAGACCTGCCCTCGCGGTCTCCACCCTCGTTGACGGAGTTTGGTAATTTCGTTCACATGCACAAAAAGGTCCTTGTCCAGCATTGAATTGGCGAGGGAAAGTAGAGATTCCTCATAAGCGTATGCAGAAAATATTGATGCGATTACAGAACGAAGCTCTGAAAGAGAAGGTGAAGCAGCAGCTACCCGTGTGAGGAAAGCTCGCAGAATACGCAAAAAGGAGAGATCAGTTCTTTCACCAGGTCTATCGCCGGATTTTGTGGTGCTCGTCAACAGAGCAGTAAATACTTGCTGAACAAGAACCCGAAAAGAGGAGGAAATCTCCCCGATTTTAGTGCTATCAGTCTTTTCCCTTAGGGTATCCCTCTCGAAGCCTGGCGAAACTTCCCTCAGCAAAGGCGACATATTGCGAGCTATACGGACGATCGCTTCAATAAGATCAAGCCAGAGATTCTCTTCGAATGATAACGGTAGCTGGAAGACTGCCGCGCCCCTTTTGTTGAATTTGTTCCCTCCACGAGATTTTCTAGACGCTTTCGACTGCTGTAGACAGACCCATATTCCAACACGAGTATATTTATCCAAGGACTGGATAAGATCAATGACCGCTTCTTCCATGCTTGCTGAATCAGGGCTTTCATCTGCATTCTGTAATAATCCTGACAGACCAGCCTCAAGCGTCCCGATGTGTTTGATTAGCCGGTCCATTGCAGCACGCACCTCCCCTTGACGGGCTAGTAGGATTATTGCAGCATCGATAGCCCCACTACTTTCCATCGAAGGAAGTACCGTATCGAGTTTGAGATCTCCAATCTTCAGGATATCTACAAAATCCGTGACATGCGAAGGGTTATATTGACACATTAGTTGAACATAGCGTTCAACAAGGTGAGTTCCAAACTTCGCTGCAAGTTCAGTCTCGCCCGGCCGTTTCCACTCCGGTTCGAATAGGGTGTTGAGATATAAATATTGCCGTGGAGAATCATCTTCTAGGACGCGGAGAAACTCTATATGCAAATCGGGGGCTGTGTCTTGAACAGTTTGAGCAGCTTTTTCCGCATCAATATCGACGATTTTTGCAGCGCGGTCCTTAACTACGGCATGCACATCGCGACGCTGCTTCTTGCTCAGTTTCGAGCTTGGGCGAAGGCAATCACGGATGCAGCCGAAAATTGACTGCTGATCTTCTGGATCTTCAAGATAAGTTAACAGAAGATCCGAAAATTGCTTCTCTGCTTTATAAGTAGACTTTAAAACTCGGTAGAATTGGGCTCTCTTTAACAAGGGAATTAAGGCCTGGATATCGGGCGGGCGATATATTGATAGTAGGTATTCTGCGCTGAGCTGGCAGTCGCCTATCATTTCCGGATTAGGATAGTGACATAACCTCACAAGCACTTGTTGGAGGGTTGATCCTGATAGCAGAGTATACTGAGGGTATTTCGGTAGATTTCGGGCAATAAACATATCAAGATAGATAGTCTCCTCTGGGCCAAAGTTGGAAGATTCCATAATTTCGAGTAAAATACTGATTAAGTATTGGCGGTTAATAGATAGGCCATGTGCCGTGGAATCACCAGAAGCTAGTATTATCGCGCCATTACTTGCTTGATCAGTGGCGTCATTTAAGAAGCTATCCTCAAAGGCTTCGTTAAGCATACTCATAAAACTAGGCGTATCGAATTCAAGGATTTTTCGAAGGTCGGGAAAGGAGTCCTGGGAGGCGGGCTTTTTTGAACTTGAAGTCATAGAAGTTCCCGAGAAAAGAAAATCATAAATCCCAGCTTTTGCCTTGGAAGCTTCGAGATCAGGCATGTCTTCTCCGGTGGGGTATATTCTGCCGGTCAACACATACGACAGATAGGGGAACATTTTCATCGCATGTGAGTGGTCCCTTGCTTCGATATCCGCATTTCCATTGACATTAGGACCCGTGTGTCCGTGAATCATATGGATAAGCTCAATTAGGGGACCAACGTAATCACCAAACGTACGAGTCCACACATATATGAATGCGTCGTATAAATTATATTTCTTGCACAACGATGTAACTTGATCAATATCAATGGTCGATGTATCAAGTAAACAAATTATTTCTTCCAGCCGAGTAGCGGTATGGTTCGTTATATAGTGGGTGATCAATGATTTCACTGCGGTAGGAGGTAGGATTCGAACGCTCCCCTGCACGATGTAGGGCTCAAGGATGTCCAAAAATATACCTTCCGAACCACACTCTTCATACCAGTTATAAACTTCGTTAAATAGAAATTCGTAATCAGACAGGGCGTCGCAAGCTGCAATACAGGAATCAGCAAGTTCCTCGAGCTGACTTGGCTGGAGGCGCTCGTTGGGTGCTTCCTGGTTTCTACCAAATGCGTATCTAACGGATGCTGACATCATTTCTAGCAGCTTCTCTTGTACTAATTGATGGCGCAAATCATCCTCTTCTGGGAGCCCCACGGTGAGCTTCTCAGTATCGCCTCTATAGTAAGACGTTGCAAGTCGAATAGCACCTATGAAGTCGCCACTTTGCATGAGAGCTAGTAACCTGTCAGCCCAATTGGATAGGCTGCCGACTGACATATCATTGACGCCTAGTAGAAATAGTCGTCCTTTATATGCTCTAAAGCTCATGTAGAAAGCATCCGCAATTACTCCATGCATCGATTCGTCTTCCTCATCCAGCTGCTCAGCCAGAGAATGAAGTTGCTTCGAAAATATATCCACATGATAGATGTGCTTATGTATGAGGTCGAAGGAGTCCGTCATTCGCAAAGTGTTGTCCTCCAATATTAGCAGTTGCTGAGTTATTGTCATCACCGCAAGCACGGAACGACTTATCCACTGTACAGCAACAATCGCTTCTTCAGCTCTCCATCTACTTCGCGGTTTAAATTCGAAACCGGGAGGTTTGTCCTTGTCCGCAGGTTCAGTTGATTTCACTTCCGAGACCTCCAACACTGTAAGTACGTTCGACCAACAATAGACTAATTTGGTCTTCGAGGCTTCAGAATCTTTCCCCTTCAGCTTTATGGCTGGAAACCAAGCAAGCGCAGCTGTAAGAGCACTGTGGGCAGCAACCTCCTTCGGCCTAGCAGCTTTATACTGAGTTTGAGCAATGGGGGTCGTTGATACAATCACGAGAAGATACGGCGTGAGCATTGCAACCAGGCCTATTGAGTCCGTTGCTTTTTCAACATTACCTAGGGGTAAGGGAGAAAATGCCAGTACGGAACTTGGTTTTCGAGGTCGGCCGCCGACAACTACCGTATCGGGGTAACGTCCTAAAATACGTGTGGTTCGCACAACTCGGCCAACTGCTCCCATACCTCTACTTGCAAGATGTGAAAATGCCATACCGTGGTCATCAGCGGAGACTAGCGCAGTGTGTCTTGTTCCCAGAAAACCCATGTGAATAACCGCTACCCCTGGTCTATGGCCGTCGGATCGCTTGGAGCCCAGCTGGCCGGCCGATATTGGTGGGATGTGTAGAAATGGGAGCGCGGGCTTCGAAATCTCCCACGTAAAGATATGGCCACTACCATGGCCAACCGCGATTGTAGTGTGGTCAGCGGAGATAGCAAGCGCAGTAACAGGACCAGACTCAACAGCTAAATGCGAAGTCAGTTTGCGCGATCGTTTAAGATGTAGGCGTTAAAAGACAATACCTTTTGTTCCAGGCCCAATGATCGCCTTAAGATTCTGCTGGTAGTCAAACACCATTACCATACCCTTGGCTGTCCCAATGACAATGGCAGTGGAAATTGCAGTACACGTAGGTTGGCCAAAGTTCCGCTTGCCTACTTCCGAAAATGCCTGACCAGTAAGTTTCCTAAGCTTCGTCCATCGAACTACTTCCCACGGTGCTGCAGGGCTTTCTGGTAAATCTGGGGTGCTGGGAGGGATATGACTAGTTGATGAGTTTCGCGAATGATGACCAATTAATGACGGGGATCGTGGCCGCAAGGCGCCCGGAAGCGAAACCGAAAGACGGGATTGAAATCTTCGATCGAACGGCCGATGAGGGCTGGGGCTCAAGTTGGATGGGGAACCACGGAGGCCAAAAGCACTACTTCTCGAAGATAGAATCGAACCCTATGAATGTTAATTCCTGGTCTGGGGACAGAAGTTCCACAAATAAGGTCAAAAATCAACGTACTTGGACAGAGGGAGAGTCATCTGGTATTGACCCAGAATCATCGCCGCTCCCGATTCCCCTGATTCGCAGATGTTGATGTATCGATGACGTCTCGCCAGATCCGTTTTGAAGCGCAGAATCCGACTCCACCGCCGTAAGATCACGACTATCGGCCACGGACAGCGGGTTATCATCGAGAAACACATCCTGGCCAGGCTCTATTTCATATTGCTCCCGCATACCCTCGTTATCGGCCTCCCCATCCGGTGCTACAGGGAGCTGTTCATGGTCGTTATTCTCCAACTGTGGTTCATCCTCTCGAGCCCCATCATCACTCCCCTCAATCCTGGAGCTCATGTGTCGAGTTGTCGAAAGACCATCGCTTCCAGCCTTTATGGTTTCAGAAATCCTACCAGGCTTAGAACGGGAAGTGGAATCGTTGCGGGTTATCGCCAATCTAATAAGGAGCTTCCGGGAAATTAGCAGTGCGCTGTGCGATCGAGTTCGTCCGTGGCAGGGGTCCAACTAGGCAACTGGGTGTAGCTGGGCAATGTGGGCAGTGATACGGTTCGTGTAGCCTCTCGTATAGTTCGGAAACAAAAGGAGTCCCGTTTAGAATGCCACTAGAGTCATTCAAAGAAGCCGAAGCAATCTCCACACCGACAGTAAACCGACAGAGCGTTCGTCGTGAGAATGGTTGGTCGCTGGTCCTAGCGGAGATGCGTCCGGTGTTTATTATTGTGTGGCGGACGTATTTAAATATCTAGCTTGAAGTTTCCAGTCAGCAGCAAATCATCTGATCTCCGCCGCAACCTCAGCGGCAACAAAATCAACTCCCAGTCAGCGTTCATTCCGCTCTCCCGCAAAACCTACCACATCTCTGAATTAGAGATTATGCGTTGGATTACAACTCAAATTTTGGGCTATCAGGGAGATAACACTCGAAATCAAACCCTGAGGGTCTTCAATGCCAAGCACCCACGCTATTGTAAGCATTTTCCCTGCAAACCTAAGGGCCTGAGCTCGATCAATGGATGCTTCAATGTACATGTACATACTATCCAGATTCCTCATAGCTTGATGCTCGATATAACCTGTTGAAAATATGTGTCGGGCACCACTTGGACCACTTGGACCACTTGGACCCCAGGGTCTATCTCGTTCTGTGCACATCACTCCCTCCAACGATCCCAAGGATACTTCAGCTAGCTATCCTAGTCTACATCTCGAACTCATGCGCTGGCGGTTCGTGACCGCCTCGAGATCGAGGCTAAGTAATTTATACGTCAGTATATTGGGAAAAGCTGGTCTTAGGAAACATTGACAATATCCGCACTGTCCATGATGTTAAACCCGCCTCGGTCGGATGGGATCTGATATGATATCAGGGTGGCCTATATATCTATGAGCTTAAGGGACAGGCAGTCCCAACACAGCTGCTGCCGCCGCTGTTGGATGCGGCGGATAAAAAGTGTGTCGTTGTTCGTGCTGAAGGAGCGACAATCCTCGCAGTATTATTCCCTTTCCCTACCATGACAATTGCTGGACCATGGGCTCCTTCCTAGCCATGGTGTGCACATGTCTATCATCTATCTATCTCCTCAGAAGATAGTGCTCTATGTTTGATCTGGTACGTTATGGATGCCTACAGCTATAGCGTCTATATATGATAGCTATACATAGCCTTCATATATACATTTCGCACACTCGTTTTCACCTACAGCTACTTCCACTGAAATTGCCAGCGGAGGTTTCTTTACAGGACACATCCCAGCAGAGAAACTGTGGATATTAGAACGCTCGCTAAATACCCGCTACCGTATCCTGCAAAAATGCTCATACTCTTTCATGCGCTACTGACGCTCTTTCTGCCACTAGGCGTATTCGCCCAAACTGAATGCAATGGACGCGCGGATTATTGTGACCGTCGCTACTCAGAATTATCGTTCGTCGGGGCTCATAACTCACCGTTTGTGGGCTTCCTCCCGCAGCACAACCAGGAGATATCAGTAGTCAGCCAATTAAACCTGGGTGTACGGTATTTGCAGGGCCAAACTCACCTGAATGCGAGAGGCAAATTGCGCATGTGTCACACTTCGTGCTTTCTAGAAAACGCAGGCGGCCTCGATACATTTCTTCGCAAGGTGAAGGGTTGGCTCGATGACAATCCGGACGAAGTGGTCACGCTCCTCATTACCAACGGAGACAGGTTGGACATCTCCCGATTTGACGAATCTTTCAGGAATAGTGGCATTGTGCCATATGCCTTTGTTCCCTCGTCATCTCCGCATAAACTTCCCCTGGATGAATGGCCAACTTTACAACAGATGATACAATCTGACAAACGCCTTGTCGTATTCTTAGGTTGGTATTGGTTGTGTCTCATTACCCCTCGGTACTACTTTGGGTGAAAAAACATCAGGGTGCTAATTTGCTCGTGGGTGGTTTAATAGATTATGGGGCCGATATGAGGAGGGTGCCTTACATTCTCGACGAATTCTCATACTATTGGGAAACGCCCTTCGACACCACCGATCCGCTCTTTTTGCAGTGCAAAATTGATCGCCCACCTAACGCGAACCCGGACGATAGGATGTATATCGTGAACCACTATCTGGATATAGAAAAGGTCGGCGTTTTGTTTCCTGACCGGTTGTCAGCACCAAGAACCAACGCTCCGACTGGGAAAGGAAGTATCGGGGCGCAAGTTGAGCTGTGCACATCAATCCACGGTCACAAGCCTAACGTCGTTCTTGTTGACTTTCTCAATCAAGGTGATGTACTTCGAGCGCAGGATATGATGAATATAGTTTAGGGTATCCCGTGGTTGTCGGTTGTCTTGGTTGATTCTTATGTTTCTCCTATACTGTTCCGTGTCTGGTGGATCGGATATCCATCGATTTGCAGTGGTAAAAGTTACTTTCGGCTTCGGAGCCTCGTTGCAAATGTTTGGGTTAACAGGAGATATCGGTCTAGGCATTCTTCCAAGGTTATTCTGAGTTGTCCCTTTCCGGTCCTTATTCATATTATTAGTTAAAAAATGCTAGCTCCGCGTTTGACATGCTGGCCGGTTGCCTCAAAGGAATAACCCATGTAAATTCATCACACCTTTAGGGATGTACTCCTTGTGCGGCGAGCCATTCATATTTGGCTACCCTAAAAGCACTCCTTGGTACCCAAATCATGCTTGGTATACAACTCTTCAGGCCATTATAAACGCATCTGTAACTCAATAAAACTGGCATAACTCTTCAAACTAGACGGCCAGCTTGGTTGGAGAAATTTAAAGAGAAAGTTAGCAACCAAGCACTCCAATCCCCGATCAGAAAACCCCGTAAACTAAAATCAATGTTGTGCCCAACGGACAGAAACCAATGGTGCTGTACTGCTTTGCTTGAATGATTAATCGCTTCCAATGCAACAGCTCGCAAACGCAATCATGGCTCTGCGTTTCTGACCAACGCCGCGTCATTGCAGCAAGCAAGCAATTGATTGGTTATATTATCGTGGGTTGACATGGTCTGCACTAGGTGCGGCCAAATTGATTTTAAATGGTTTTTTAACGTAACGATTTCACCACGACCTCGCGCATTTAATCACACGATATGATATAAAACTTTATTTAATAGCCTCTGAAGTTATATGATTACCAATGAGGAAGTCTATGTTGGGGTGCTATTTTAATTGGTGTTCTACTCTATACAAACGGCCTCCCCTCCAACACTGGCGCGAAAGGATCTCTTGCCGCATCCCTCAAGGTAACGAAGTATTTAACCCCCTGCTAGTTGCCCTTGTCTCAGGATGCTGAACTTGGCTGTAGGCGGCCCGAAGCAGCTGCCTGAGATAAAGGTCCGGGCTTCCGGAAGGGATAAAATAAGGTAATATCAATAATAAAGGATGAACCATCCACTTCTCTTCGTGCCTGAGTTTGTTTATTTTAGGGAGATGGAAGTGACTGGGAAGAAGTGTTAGGCGCGGCTATATTTTCATATTTTCATATTTTCGGGCTGATTGGAGAGCTTCCTAATTCATCCTTCTCCTCCTCTCACATTCTTCACGATAAATACATATACACATCCAATCATACACCATTCGTTGTTCCAGATGATACGTCACGATGGAGAGGCTCATCATCCACTAGGTGCCGGATCATATTATTATTTCAAGAAGCACCTGATCAAATATCTGAACGACCAATGCTCCCGCCCAACTATCGCTGTCCACATTGGCGCCCAGTCAAACTGAAGTCCACACATCGGCAACATAACCACCTTCGCTGTGGGATTCACCGTTGCTACTACCCTACAGAAGAAATTGAAGCGTGAAGTGAGGGCCAAATTCGTGCAGGTTGATAGCGCTCCGTCTCCGGGGCAGGAGAATAGATATCAATGGAATCGTATATCAAAAGAGTCTCCGGCACACGGGTGATTTTGAGGCAACAAAAACGCCCTTTGTGAAGATGCTAGACCGGCTGTCGGATATCTCTGGCTCTCAAATGTTGCATTTCCCGTACTCCGCACTATCGTGGCCCAGCATGAAGTTCTCGGTCCGCATATTGTCCCCAGATAGAGACAAGCTGGTTATTCGAGCATCATGTCCGCCAGGGCAAGCACGGCGTTTGCTTATCTCAGCGGACTCAGACCCATCGCCAGAGGAATAGATTTGGTAACTTTAGTTTTGATCAATTTGGTTTAGCTTATTGTCTATTTGGGATTAGCTTTGGAGAATTCTTCTGTAGGATAGTTGAAGGTTGTATTGATAGATCTATCTACAAAGAGCTTAATATAGTGGTTGGTCACGTGATCTGGGGAGATCGCCAAAGCCAATAGCCGCAACGGCCGTAACGGCCAACATCTTCTGCGCAGCGTCTGAGGTGTAGGCTACTGGCAAAAGAGCTCAGTCACCACCAGCGCACTGCTGGTAGAAGGGCCGATCAACCCCCGGGACCCCCAACATGGAGCTACTACACAAACCCTAACCCACGTGACCCACACACATAATTTAGCTTCCACTAGTTAGCTGCTAGTTAGTTAGATAACAACAACCAACCACGTTCAACCTCTCTCACATTGGAGCACATCACGTGATATAACCTCCTGTTGGTGATTACTGGATAGATCAACATACACAACAACGTTATCCTCCAAGACCTCCTCTTCAGATCTATCGAATTCAAGACGGCTCTGCGCAGTCTAAGACGTTCAGATCTGCAGTCAAGATCCAGACAAGTCCTGGATCATGTGGACCGGATCGGACTACGCAGGATCCTACCAAGAACAGTTTACTTGGCGGCTCCTCGAGTGTCCTGGAAAGCTCCGATTATTTGTTTATTCTCCCCTAGTTCTGGACTCGTACGGAGGTAAGCTCTCGAAGAGTTTGTACGTTAGGAAAGGTGATATAAGTATTTATGCGATGCTGGTCGTAGGTACATTTTGGATGCGGACACGTTTATGAATACCGAAGGCGCGGCGCACTTAATGTACTCTGGGAGGAAGTCCGCGGTTGGATGGAGGAGCCAAAAAAGCTCTTTAGGAACTATTCCATTGATTATATCGATAAGCAACCGCTATCTCGGGGGATGCAGCTAGTCGAAGCGACCAATTAAGCTTAGCGACGTATTAGATATTAATTCGATCCATATCCTTCATTAAAATGCATGCGTGACGTGTTTAAAACGTACTTGTCTCTATCCTGTGACGAATTCAACAAACATCGGATTGGGACATGGTTGATCCGGCCATCAGCCCATAAAGTCCATTAATCCTCTAGCCTTGGCCTTTCACGCCCGAATAGCTGAATAATCTGGTGATTTTAGGAGCTGGGCGCTTCTTTGGATTCCTCCGGGAGAACATAGTCCTTCATCTCTCCTTCCACAGGGGTCTCTTGCGGCGCCCTCGAGATTATATGCTCCTGTGTGTCCATCGGACAGCTCTCCAGGAGCGCGAGGGGTACACAACAATACTTCTGCGGCGGACCCTTTAGAAGGCCATTCGAGATAGCCAGCTTCAGACTGATGGGTTGCTTCAGCCTCCACAGATCCAGGATTTCGTAGGCGTATTTCGAGACCTTTTTGCCCGCATTGAAGTCTGCATTGCCAATTCCGCCATCCTCCGGGACTTGGCAGGGCACCTTGCCGCGAGAGATGTGTGCGACATACTCAATGCGCGAGATGGGGCGGGTGGGTGGTGTAGAACCAGACAGATGCGGCGGCCGCTCAACGGCAAGAGGTAGCGGCGGTACTCGTGGTTCTTGGCGCGGGTCGCGATGATATCTATGTGTTCGGGCTTAATGCTCATGAATACGTCTTTATTTCCCGTCCTGATGGTTTGGTCTTTGCACTGTGGTGGCTTCTCTTTTCTTCTCCGTTATCGGAGGCAACCCGCGCGCGACGAGAAATTTCTGATAGAGCTGTTGTGGAGATGAGGCTTTGATATTTAGGTAATTAACTGGGATAGGATGGATGGGGACACATCAACAACCTTCAACCACCAAGAATATCAAATATCCAGACAGGTCCGGGATAACTATCTCAAATCGAAATGGAAATCCAACCAGCTCCGTGAATAGATGAGAAGTGCGCACGGAGGACTCTGCCCACCCAATCCAACGTTGATGATGATTCGTTTCTCAGTGCAGGGGACAGCCAATTATTGCCGTGTGCTTCACCACCTGCACCGCCTGAGATAACTCCCACCAACCAACACCCTGAAACTGTCCACGCCGTTCCAAATAACCCTGGCGTGGGCCGACTTAGAGCTCATGGTAGGATGAAGAGGCCGCGAACTCGGGATCTCTAACAGGATGGCAATATCAAGCAGACACACACCGCACATGCTCTTTGCATTCACCTATTAGCGTAGCTGTGAGCAGTCTTCAGACGGGGCCAGCAGTGAACAATCAAGTTAGTTAGTTACACATAGTTACTCCGTTCTGTAGTTACATTACCTAGTGAGTTACTAGTAAGTTGACTGGCTAACAAAGAAAAATGAGCCGTGGGTTCTTTTTCTTCCCGCTTTCTTTTCTTTTCTTTATTTCTTTTGTTGATCTTCTTCTGCCCCGCCAGATCTCCCTCTACAGAACGTGGGCTTGCATTAGGGAGGTTCACGCTGTACGCCGCGTGGGAGAAAGTTCGGTTGGTTTAAGTTAAGCCTCTGCTAGTGGAAGCTTCGCGGTGGTGGGCACAAATAAGAAGGTCAAGATCTCCGAGATCTAACCAAGTTAGATTAGTGTTCTTAGTTTCAAACTGCTACTTAGCTTGTTGTTTGGTTGAAAGTTTTTCCATTATCTAGAAACATCCAGTAACAATATCTATAGAAGAGCGTACAATCAAGTTGAGCAGATAAATTTGATTTCTAAATCTCTCTCTACTTATCATAGCAGACTTAGATTCTGTTCTACTTGATTGTAGTAAATTCAAGTAAATTCAGCATGACATCAAGACTATTTCAGTAAGATTATATGCTCAGAAACAATTCTAACCAGTCTGAGAAGAAATGATTTATATTTTAGAAGATTTTGAGATTTTTCAAAAATTGGTATTTTACTCAATTTCAAATTTCAATTATTATACATCTTTGAGATTTCTGAATAATCAGAGATTGTAGTTAAAGAGAGGAAGAATAAAAATATATATAATTTTTATATTAAATGGATCAATATTTAACACTTTTTTCTTCTTGAAATCAAGAAAATTTCGTATTTTAAAAAAGAGTGTTTCAACTTTTTGATATAACTTATATAAAATTCTACAGCTACTTCCTCAAGATACATTAAGATAAGTTTTCTAGTCACTATATAATTATTAAATTGCACTATCTGAAGAGCTGGTAAACTCAAATCTTAGTGCATTATGAACAGATATAAGTATACTTTAATAATTCACTAGATATTCTTGACTCTATGAGAGTCATTAATGAAATTTACATATGTGTAAAAAAGTACAGCTGCATCAACTCATTTATTTCAATTACGTGCAACTTACATGAAGATTATGAAGCTCATACAGAAGCTATCATGAGTGTCTCGACTCATAGTTACGAGCTGCCACCAAGTCTCTTACCACCTAGGCCGAAAAGACTTATATAACAACGACTGGCCTGGTTCCTTGCCAATTCTTATAGCGGTGACTCGCCTGCACCTGACCCTGGGGACTAGGTACCGTTACAATGAGAGCCCCAGCAAATTTTAAAAAGTGGGCTTTATGCGAGCTAGTTACTCCGGACGAACCAAGATAAAATCTGTCTAATGATAGATAGGTTTTGGTGACAATCATTCTAAGGAATGTATGGGACCCAAGATCAAATGAGACGAAACATGAAAATACCTGGTTCCAGCAGCCAAGTCTACTAAGTTACTCAAAGGAAGTTACTCCAAGATCGAGTATAGAGCAAATTCATTCTCATGTTACTAATAAACAGGAATTGTTTCTTCTCTGACAATGCATAGGATAAATTAAGAATGTTCCCAAGTTAATTTGGCTTATTAACTACCTATTTGATACTAGACTGACTAATCATCGTTTCAGTGTTAACTTAACTACAGCGTAGGTAAAAGTAACACCGCAATATTTTCCCAGCAGCAACTGAGCTTGCTGAGACAGCCTGAGTGAGATAGGCCTTGCACGGGAACAATGCCATACCATGCATGCCATGAGGAGTATATCGGGGTATATCGACATTCCCCAAGGAACTAACCCCCTCTCCATCCCGCGCAAGAATTATTGGGTATAGATGTAGAAACATATAAAAGACAAAACCATCCCCTGCCTCCTCGCTCTCCCCCCTTTTTTTCCTTCCCCCTATTCCTCCATAGTAGACAGTAGTAGTAAATCACCCCACCACCACCACCAACAACAATAAGAAAAAAGTCAAGATGGTCCCTCACACTGTCTTCCTCCTTCTCGCAGCCCTCACAGCCCTCACCACATCCTCCACCATCCCCCTCCATAAACGCGATCCCCCCAACATCCCCAGCCCACCTGAAGCCAGCCGCCTCCTCGAGTTAATGGTCGTCTCCCCGCAGGGGCCCCAGACTGGCTACAGCCGCACTAAATTTCCGCACTGGATCACCATCAATGGCCCCTGCAACACCCGCGAGACGGTGTTAAAGCGCGACGGCATGAACGTAACAGTCGGCAAGAACTGCTCCCCAAAATCGGGGTCGTGGTATAGTACCTATGACGGCGTGACGTTGACGAGCTCCAGCAATGTGGACATCGACCATGTGGTGCCGCTTAGTGATGCGTGGAAGAGCGGGGCGTCGGGGTGGACGAGGGAGCGGAGGCGGGACTTTGCGAATGATATGGAGAATCCGCAGTTGATTTCTGTTCAGGGCAAGGTTGGTTTTTTTTTTTTTTTTTTTTTTTTTTTTTTGAGGGGGGGAGGGAATTATTGACCCTTCTAACCCTGCAAAACCAACAGGTCAACAAAGAAAAGGGCGACAAAGGACCAGATAAATGGAAACCCCCTCTTCGTAAGTTTGCTTTCACTCACACCGCGAGCCCTCCCCTCCTCCTCCTTTTAACCATGCTAACCCAACCCCAGCGACCTACCACTGCACATACGCCTGCATGTGGGTCAAAGTCAAATCCGCCTACAATTTGACAATCACCGATCCTGAAAAGCAAGCGTTGATGGATATGCTGGGGACTTGCTGAGGGGGACATATATATATATTAAACAGGGGACCGAGGGGTTCGAGAGACTTAGTTCTCTGTATATCGTAAAAGGTTCACGGAGAAGGAGATGAGAAGAAGGGGGGGTTGCTTGCTTGGTTTATATAGCATAAAGCTTATTTATTCTCAAGCTTTAATTGTTTATTTTCCCTGACTTCTATTCCGTTATTAGCACTAACACACCCAGAGGTAATACAGAACAGAAGGAAGAAATGTGAAAAAAGAGAGCAGAAGAGCAAAAGTGGATTAAGTATCAACCATCCATCGTCCTGGCCACCAAACCCACCACAAGCAGAAAAGAGGAGGGAAGAGAAGAAAAGAAAAGAGAAGAAGAGAAAAGCAGGAAATCATCTCTTTCCAAATACTTACTACTCATAATGATAACAAATCTATGATATCCATCCCCCCATTATATCCAGCTAGACCAAGATAACACCTTAAAACAGAAAAAGGAAAAAAGAAGGGAAAAAATAAAATTGCCTGTCCTCCTCCTTAGAGAAGGGAAGGAAGGTTAACGTAATGAGAAGATTATTTTGCTGTCCACATTACAAGTGTGGCTCGCTCAGACATAAGTATAAGCCACTAGAAAGAAGAGAGTTGATTATTCCTAAAAACCCAAAGTAGAGGAAGGAAAGAAAAAAAAAAAAAAAAGGAGGGGGGGGGGGGGGCAAATAATGCCTAGCGAGTTAACACCATGCAATAAATGGAATAAAATAAGAGGAATAATAGGGAATTTTAACCCAAATGCATATCACATACAGAGACACACGAACGAGTCTGATAACATTATTATGATAGTAGGTTCTTCAGCGACGGGCTCGCGCTAGCCCCAGATCCAGCTCCGCTCGTTGGTACATTCGTGTTATGAAAACGTCCGGAACTACTAGGCCTCGCAGATCCATTGGCCGATGGTGAAATGTTTTCATCTCCAGCTGCAGGGGTGGCCGGGCGCGGTGAGTCAAGGCTATGGCGCGTCGATGAGGGCGACTGATGGCCTGGTGCAATGGGCCGGTCGACTGAGAACATGCGAGAATTTGGCAGGGAGGGTGTTTAATGTATGTGGCGGAGAGAAATAAGGGGGTCGGTGAAGTGGGGTTGTTAAGGGGCGGCTGCGTTGTACGGCCGATTTGAGGGGGCGGAGGGAGTTGGCTGGTGGGGTTGTGGAGGCCATGCACATTTGGTGCGGTAAGGGGACCGGGCCATATGGACTCTGGTGAGCGGAGTATGAATGCGGAGGTGGAGGTGGAACGCCGTTTCCATAGTGCTGTTGCGGAGGAGGGGCGTGCGGATGACCTTGGTGGTGGGGTGGGAGCGAAGGGTGGTAGCCGTTCAAATGTTGCGGAGGTTGGGGGGGAGGGCCGGCATGGAAATTTCGTGGTCCAAGTGGTTGAAGGCCGCTGGGTGGAGGACCACCGGGCGGCATGCCATTGCGCATGAGCTGTGGCCCATAATCTCCTGGCCGTTGTTCGTACTCCGGACGCCAATCTGGAGTGCCGTGGCTGTGCATCTGTACGATTGGAGGCATAGGTAGAGTTGGGGGGTGCGGTGTCGGGTGGGCGTGTGGTGATGGCGAATACTGGTGGTGAGGGAACTCAGAAATACGGGCAGCAGGTAGGCTCGGATCCCGCTTAGCGCTGTATGGGGAAGGACGAACTTCTGACTCCACCGGTGATATCGATTGCTTCCTAACGTGGCATTTATGGCATTCGTGTAGTGCTCTAGGTCTTGGGAAACTTCGTGGAGCGTCTTGGGTAGATGGAATTTGGCGGTCTGCGTCCACCATAAGGACATCCCCATTGATCATAGGAATGGGCGGCAACTTTTCCACATGACCAGATGGTGCTTGAAAAGGCGAGCTGGCGGTTGGGGTTGCGTGGGAATACGCCGAACCAGGACCATCCTTCGGGGCAACACCGTTCATCATAAGGCGATTTTCACCCCTAGCCGCGGAGAATTCCAAAGACGACTCGACCGTCCACCACTTCGGGCTGAACGTTGAATTGCAATTGAAACACTTTTTGTTGTGGTCGGAGTTTACAGCATCGCCATTGACCAGACCAGTGGAGCTGCTTCCATGGATGGGTTCTGTTGACAGCCTTGAAGCGACATGGCTGTTATCCTTGCTGTTGTGGTGTGGGGTAGTTCCATTGACGGAAACTCGTCGGTTAGGCGGGTGGAAACCATTCTGAATCGACACTCCAACGGATTGTTGGACATGCGCAGCTTTCCGGACAGTACCCGTGAGTGTGAGGTCGGCTTGCTTGGAAGTCCGGCAATAGAGTTGTAGCGCATTCAACCCCTCAACCTCACTAGGCTCGCTCATTTCATGGACAATAGTGGAAATCGGATGCTGAGGACACCAAATAGCAGGCGTAGCCGCACCCACCTCGTCGCCCAATTTCATCGTGTTGACAGTATCCCTTCGGGTGCTCTTGACTGGGGTAATGTCGAAACCGAAAGTGTAACCCGCTTGACGAGCACATCCCACATGAAACCGTGCATTGCAAGTCGTGTTATGGCAGGAAACGCAGGCGCCGTGTCGCGTCTTGCAGATTTTGCAATTATCTTGGAACCTTTCAGCAGGGATCAGCCCAAACCCTTCAGCAGGTTCCAGCTCCTTTGCATTTCCAAATTTGATTTCAGGCACCCAGACTGCACAGGTAACATGAACCCAATTGTTACCCGCAGTTCTTTTGAGCGGCTCGCGCGGACCCGTTGGTTTTCCAGCCTCCTTTTGCCGTATTTTATAGAGCTTGCTAGCCTCGGCAACCATTTCTTTCTCCAGACGCTCCTTTTCACGCTCCCGGTCTGTTTTCTTCTTGTGCGAAACCTTGGGCGGCTCCATCAACTCATGCTCAGTATACGTAACTGGGCATAAAACGCATTCATACGACGTTGAAATCGCGGGGTTCCTGTCATTCGAGCACATATCGCAGAACCATTTTGACGAGTTCCATGAAGGGCTTACACCATAGCAGGCTCGATGAACAGTCAAACGGCAGTCGCGACAGGACAGATGCTGATCGCCCATGGGATCCATTTTGTCGCATACTGCACATGGAAGAGTTTTCACCCTAGGTGGCTCTGGGGCAATTGGAGGGGGCTCAGCGGGCTTATCAACCACCTTCTTTCTCGGAGCAGGAGCGGGTTCGGCTGGGGTACTAGTTCCAGGAGCGGAACCATTCTGATCCGATGACTTGACCTTCTTCTTAGGTGGTTCCGACGGAGGGGGTGGTGCAACCACTTCGGCTGTGAGGGAAATTCCTAACGAGGTGGCTATTGTTGCAGTAGTGCTATTGATTTTGACATCAGTCTCAGACGAGGTGAGAAGCTGAATGAGTAGCTCCTCCTCATAGCGCCGGCGCCATGACTTGTTTCCCCCTTGACCAATCTTCTTCACAACTTCGTCAGCATCTTCCCACTGGATACCATACTTTCTCCAGAGAGTAGCACATCGTTGACAAATCGCAACAGTGAGACTTTGAACTGCTTTGTCTCGTTTCGGGTCTGTTGAAACGGCAGTACCAGGAGGAGTTCCAGGAGCCCGCCTCCATTGTCTTGACGACCTCGTCGAACAGAATTTGCATGTAAAACCCCTTTTTTTGTCCTTTGCCTTGTCATTATCAAATGCCGAATCGTCATAATCATCTGCGACGTCGTCAACCAGTTTTACCGCACTATCCGCTTGTTTCGCTGCTTTCCTCCCCCTTCGCCCGTCGAAATTGCCCCAAATTTGACGACCTTTCGGAGTCTTTTTCCACATGTAGTAATATCGAACAATGTGACGATGTGGGACAGTCCCGACATGTTTTGTCACATTCCGGAGCTCGGACCCGTATAAAGCTACCCCGCTTTCAAACGCCTTAACCTCTTCTGGGCGGAGATGTGGCTCCTTGAGATCTGCATACTTGTTGACTTGTTTTAGTCTTGTCAGTGCAGCTTGCACATTAAAATTCTCTGCGTAAAGAAGCTCGAGTGCCTTGTCCAGGAAATTTGTAGAATATCTCTCAACTTTGAGAGAAGGGGCGATCTCTTTGGCTTTGGCCATATACTCGTCGATGAATTTCTCGCGATCTGCATCACTTATGGAAGACCCTGGAGCGTCATCTTCACCGCGAGAGGGAAGTTGCGAAGCGTCAGGCATCTTAACAAGCAGCTCTGCGGTGCGGATCTGTTTGCCGTTCACAGTAACTGGCGCGTCTTCTCCGCGAGGAATATAGCCCACAGGTTCATCTTGGACCCACTTCGGTCGCTTAGCTCGTTCAGCTTTCTCAGCTTCCATCGCAGCAACAGCTTCCCTGGAAAGCTTAAGATCCTTCTTATTGGCAGACTTGACGTTCCTCTTTTTCGGTTCGGGAGCTTTGACATATTGAACTGGGTGGCCATACCATGGGATAACGTTCGCTTGGTGGCGGGGCCCTATTCGAGAGCTTGCTCGGGGATATATCCTGTCGTCATAGTCCAAAGCGTCTTCCACTCGACAATGTATTCCCAAATACCTAAAAGGCCATAGCTTTGCCTGGGCAATCTGCTCACTGGTGGCAGGTCGAACTACATCCGGGAGAGCAGGTGTGCTTCGTTGCGTGGCTTCCGCTAGAGCGGTGGGATCTTCTTCTTCCTCCTCACAGGGCTCTACTTCAGTCTCGGCCGACACTTCTCCAATAATGGGGGTGTTCCTTGCCTCCAGCTTTCGTTCTTGGGCGCGACTGCATGCGGCGCAAGCCCAAGCGAACCCGCGCGCTGGTTTCTTTTGCAGCACAGGCCGAACACAGTACATGTGATATGTACTATGACAAACAGCACAATCCACAGAATCCGTACTAGTAATCGTATTAGTGAGCCGGCCAAAGTAGGATAATAATAAAACAAAAATAATAATAATAATAATAATAAGTGAGAAGGGATTTCTGGCTACATACTTTGCGGCATACAAACTACACTTTTTGCAGGTTTTAACTGCACTGGTCAAATCCTTTCTCCGG